TACTAAATACCAGCCAAGTCAAGTGTGTTGGGAGTCAACTTTGCTTGTCTGATATTAGCATGTTTCAGGCTGATGTCAAGTGCTTTTAACTAGGCTGCTATCTGCCTGATTCTTGCTGATGTTAAGCCTGTTTCACGCTCTCAAGTCGGATGTTTCCTCTACTCGTCTGTACTCTGAATTACCAGCCTGGGATAGTTGGCTGGCATGTCCTTTAGTCCAAGAAAACTTTATCCTGTACTTTGTTCAGTTTTTGACATTATCTCAGAGTAAATGCCAGTCGTAAAATATTTCCTCTGTCCAGATAATCATATTTTTTTGTGAATTTTTTAGGTTGGTTTTGTCATTTGACTAAAAATATTCAATGTGAGGCAGAATGTGCAGGTTGAGAAAATACCCATATCCACTCCAAGGATGGTCATTGGAAATTCCAAGGGCGTGGTGGGTCTCAATTGCCAAAGTTTTGAGGGAAAGTATGAAGCTAAGCTGGAAATTCCGGCTAGGAGGGGGCGGGGGAGTAAAAACTAAATAACCTTGGTGGAGGTATGGATATTTTCTAGAACCCCACAGTGCACTCCTCAGTCATTCTCACATTTGCTTCAATCTTTATTTTGCTACCATCTCATGCTTCACTTAACTGAGATCTATCTTCTACATGTGTGAAAACTGTTTCTGTTTGAGACCAAAATGAACTGAGATTTTGCCCAAGGTAAATACCTGTACAGCTTTTAAACTTTCCACCTCATTTACATACGTCAATATACTATGTGTTATCAGGCATAACATGCTAACCCAACACTTGAACAACATGGACTGTGACCTACAAGCCTCGTCACATTTAGTTCAAACACATGCAAATGTTTTGAATTTCGGTCTTAGCAACTATTAAAAGCATGCCAAAACCCCCTTTTCCCCTTTCAATGTTTGAAAGTGGCAAAATGCATCCATATGTCCATTTAAAGTGTTTTGTTAACATTGTTCTGGGGTGGGGAGGGGCAACATAGGTGAAAACTGAAGTGTTTCAACAATAATTATGATGAGGCTTGTAGCTGGGTGATCCCCCTGGGGTTTAACATTGGAGCTCCTTTGGGATTGTGCAAGGAGGGAAATTAGGTGAGGTTTTCATCACATTCTTCATAATTATTTACTGTTTACTTATAAACTGTTGTTTTTGTAATCTCTTACCAACTATTTGTCTTACTTATTTTCTTTTATGTAACATCAAAGACGTGTTCAGTTTATTTATATATTTGTTCTTTATTTTTCAAAGTGTCGAGAGATGACATAATAGGAAATTTCTTATCAATAATTCTCGTTTTTGATTTACTTCCTAACTTTTTGACTAAGCTGATGTTACATAAAGTTTTTTCTTTTGTCATCATTGAAAAATGGCTTCTCAATTGTATCAGGTCACCATTAAGCAAGAAATATACAAACATTACTCTTGCTTATGTTAAGCTGTATGTGTAACATAGATGTGATTTATAAGCCCTAAGGGTTTCTGTATGGGAACTCAACAGTTTTGTTTTAAATCATTTAAATTCAAAATATGTTTTGTAAATAAAATTGACTCACTATGTTGTTTGTGTCATGGTCTTTGTTGTTTACCTTCTCCTGGAGCCAGTTTGAAGCTATATCACACAGCTAACCATTTTGCGATTGGCCATTGTTAAAATAAATTAATACCTGTAGGTCCTGCCCTTTTATAGCCTGTAGGGAAAGGTTTAAAGTCTGGCAGGGATATTTTAGGGTCTGGTCTCAAGGAACTTCACACAAGACAAGGAAGAAATCTAACAGAAAAATTAACAAGGTTTGCACCTCGCTTGGAATTCCAGGGAAACTCCTGGGATTTTACAATATTTTTTTTCTTCTCAAACCCATTTAATAATTTATCAAGGTTAAACAAAGGAAACCATGTCCGTGACAGTGGTTGGATATCTGATCTTAATTTTTTACCATTTTATTTCTCCATTTTCTACTTAGTTACTAATCTAAGTAGAAAATGGAGAAATAAAATTGTAACAATCTATGCTACCCCCTGCATTTGAAAATTAAAGTAAAAGAAATTGATTGGGCAAACACTTTTCCAGTCATTTAAGAAGCATTACATTAATTTTTCTACCGTCTACACCACAAAAATAATTTAAGTGTTCTTGGTGGAATGTCTTTACCATTTGCACCCTGGAAAATTCCTGGATTCCATCATTAATGATTAGTATGAAAGTAACCCGGAATAGTACAAAAGATTTGGCTGGTAGGCTTTCATGTTTGGAGTTTCTTGCAGCATTCCAGACAGGAGACCCTAACTCGTATCCCAAATCTTGGCTCCAAATTCTGTTGTATCAATTAGCTTAAATCACAAACAATAAAGAAGTATTATAAAGGAACTTCTTAAGTGAAAAGAATAATCTACCTCCATGGGTCAATCTCTAAATCATACATGGCATACTTTGTATAATCATATGATAGTTCTAAGAAAACAAGGATAGTCCCTTGAAACAGAAATGTTCTAAACCATAACCAGTTATTCTTGTTGAGATAGATGTCTATGTTCCACTCGTTCAACTGCAATGTAATATTTTGTCTTGTCATTGATATCATGCCATCCTATTGGTCCACATTCACAGTCAGCACAAGCCAGATATTTAATGGAGTCTACTGTCATGGAAAAGCCAACATTTTCAAATGCAAACATATCAGGAACCAGCCAGTGACTTTTGAGGGTTTCACCTTGATGTTCCGAGCCAGCCAAGTTTTTCTTTTTCTGCATAAAGGGCAAGAACAGCTATGCAAAAAGAAAAGTGTACAAGATAATATTTTATTAAACCCTAGAGGTGACATCTGTGCAAAGCCTCATGGGTTACCAGGCTGGTGTTTATCTCATAGTTTCTGTAATCATGACACTTCTAGTCAATCGCAGCATTACCTGGGTATTTAATCTGTTGGACAGTCATTTATCCAACCAGATAAAGAGAGGTACTGGGAGAGTAGAGTTTATTTGCCAAGAACACAGCTCAGTGTTGCAAGCCAGGGCCCAACCCTGTGCTTTTAGAATCTACTATAGTGGATAGTATTTGAAGGAAAAATCTTACGCATCATTAAAATCACTGTAGCCCATATACTTGTCTGTCCATGTTAAAGTGGCATCTTTTTGGGGTCAAATTAAGTTCAACCCACTCCCAGATGAGTCCCCTCTCTAAATTTTCCGATGAGTACCCCAGACCTTTTCACATGGATGTCCCCACCGCCCCGGGGATAAAACCCGGCTTGACGGCCTACATTACAAACAACAAACTGATTATATATCAATAACCACATATCAAGAGCTCACTCAGACCACAGTTCTACGTAATTCCTTTTAGTTTCGTCCAGAAACTACCCTAGTTTGTCAGTCTACAAAGGAAGAAACACAAGTAACCCTTAATATCGCATGATCGCACAAAGTGAACTGCCGCTATTTTACCTCTCTTTCTTCGTAGCTAGCGGCGCTTGGTCTCAGAACCTTTGATTCACAAAACTTGCATACCACCCACTTATCGTTCTTTCCATCCTTAATAAGATCATCCATCCTTGGAAATAGATTTACTTCCTAAATGGTCAAATATGTTTCAGCCTGTGTCCAAATACAGCCAGGCGCGCCAAAACTAAACCGCGTGTAACTGGAAACTGATTGTTTGCACCGGTGACGTCATGTTACAGAGCACCGAATTTCATTGAACTTTTTTTTAGCCATTATTTTTAAAATTGCTTTATTGTACCGTATAGGTGTGAAAAATATGTGCATACACTGTGGT